TAATCTCAAGCATTTCAGATAAGGGACACTCAACTTGTACTGCCTTGTGGAATTCCTGGGCTATAACAAGTTTTCATAAGTGATAAGTTCTCCTTCCTCTTGAAAATTGCCTTCCCTATCCTCTGGACAAAATAAAGATTTAGGGGTAGGGTTTAGCCTAAGACAGTTGATGTTCTAGTGCCTATCTCAAGCTACTATAATCTCTATTCAGTAATCTGGGGTCTCCTTGTTCCTTCTAAACGGCAGCCATCACTGGGGATGTTCTAAAAACCTATTTAACTCACAGTCCAATGTACTAAAGTGAAGAGGTTCCTAAGAACTATTAATATATTACATAGGATTCTAAATCTGCCTGGCATTAGAAAGATTTCAGCCATGTTCTTTAGGTTAGTCAATGGTTGGCTACTAGCACTGTTTTCACTCCTTACCCATTTGAAACTCTTACTCATTTGTTAAAAATACTTATCTTTTAGAAAAGATTTCTGGGTACATAGTAGGTATGCATTAGGTATTTATGGAGTACATTAGATATTTGGATACAGGCATACAATGTGTAATAATTACAACAGGGTAAATGGGGGTATCCATCACCTCAAACATTTATCATTTCTTTGTGTTATGAACATTCCAGTAATACTCCCTCAGTTACTCTAAAATGTACAACAAATTATTGCTGACTGTAGTCCCTCAGTTACTCTGTTGTGCTATCAAGTAGTGGATCTAATTCATTGTATCTAACTATAAAATACTCATTTTTAATCTAGATTTTGGGCTGCTATTCAGGCATTTCTACAGATATTTTAGTACTTTCTTTTTCTGATTAACACATATTTGTTATGCTATATTTAACCATTATACAAACACATAATTTAAAGTTAATGCCCCTAAAATTTATCCTATTCCTTGCAAAGGCAACCAACATTAAGTCTATTGCATAGTTCTTCAAATTATTTTCTTCACTATAAATACATTGCTTTTTTACACAAATGTTATGCTATATCTATTGTTTTGAAGCTTGCTTTTGTGAGTTATGCAGATCTTGATGTCAATCACTATCAGGATACTTTACGTGATCCAAAATACTTTAAAATTTGGATTGCCACTTAGAGGCGCTTCATTGTACTAGACTCCCCACTCAGCCCACTTTTTCTCCAGCTACTGCTGTGGCAATCTGCTTCACTTCAGTTGTACTACCTTTGCTTTCTGTCCTAGAGGTCTCTGGTACCTCCAAAAACCTGGTAGTGTGAGAGTTAACATCCCAAGGAGCAATCTTTGACCAATGGGATAATTGGATTAGTGCCAGCAGATACATTCTCCCTCTTCAATCTTTGTCAGTCAGGTTGGACAATTCTGAGGCACATTCTACAGGGCTTCTCAGAAGGTCCTGATGGGATCGAACTTCAGTTCCCTATAGTGGTGAACAATTCTAGAATCCATATTGATTCTCCTTCCCAGTGTCTCTTCTGTGCCTTGGGATAACTAATCAACATAAACTATCTGCATTCAAGCCTTTGTTGTAGGCTCTGTTTTCCAGAAAGAACCCAGGCTAAGATGCTCATATAGAATACATATTAATTCATCTTTGAAAAGGAGCCATTATAAATCATATTGTACTTAGAATATTTGAGTATCATAGAAACAAGGAAAACATTAAAACTAACTCACAATTTCATCCTAAACAAGCTATATAAAAACTCAGGCTTTTGATTTTCTGGTGCATATAAAAAGGAGAGAAAGAGGAAATTAAAAACCGTAAATAGGCCGGGTGCGGTGGCTCATGCCTGTAATCCCAGCACTTTGGGAGGCCGAGGTGTGTGGGTCACGAGGTCAGGAGATCCAGACCATACTGGCTAACAGGGTGAAACCCTGTCTCTACTAAAAAATACAAAAAAATTAGCCGGGCGTGGTGGCGGGCACCTGTAGTCACAGCTACTCGGGAGGTTGAGGCAGGAGAATGGCGTGAACCTGGGAGATGGAACTCACAGTGAGCCGAGATCATGCCACTGTACTCCAGCCTGGGTGTATAAGCTCCAGCTTGAGCAAGACTGTCTCAAAAAAAAGAAACCCAACCAACAACAACAAAAAACCTAAATAATGAGATATAACCTAAATAAATAAATAAATACTAGAAAGAGGACTACCAGATTATAAAGCTCTGTCTAGAAAATTTACTTTTTTCTCCTAGCAACAATCATTCATGAAAGATATTAATATCCCCATTTTACATAATTAGAACAAACTCTCAAGAACATCACTTGATTCAGCTCACCGAGATAGAAAACGGTAGAATTAGGATTCAGACACGGGTTTTTAGACTCAAAGTTATTTCTTCTACACTATAGAGATCTGGAAAGATACTTGTTCTAGAAATTTTCTTTAGCATCATATACTAAGTGGTACTGTATACTATTTTATTATTCCAAAAAATTAACTATTCTTGTGAGAAAAGTAATATACAAGTATACATACAACCTTTTAGTAAAGGCTGGGTAATCTTTGTATAAAACGGTCAGGATGGGAAGTAGAAGAATAACATGAAAAGACAAGTGCTTTCTGAGACGAACTGATTTGGTTAATGCCATTCACTGTTGCCATCATCATCAGACAGGATTTTTAAATTCTCACTAGCTGGAATGCAAAATTGCCAAGGTAAACATATGGCATTCATTTCTAAACTCCTTCAGTACTATTTACGCTGTTACTTATTTCTAATAGCAAGTAGCCCAGAATCTGACTTTTAAGAAAGATAAGTCAATATGAGTCAATTATTAGGAATTTATTTAAGAAACTAAAAATTACTTATTATTTTAAAATTATTTAAAATTAAAAATAGTTAGTGATTAAGAACTTTTAAAATTTGGCTATTACTTATTATGGTTTTTATTTAATAAAATTTCAATCATCATTTTATAACCCCAAAGAGATTTTTCCTTAGTCTAATTAATTAAAATGATATTTAAGGTCTTTAGTACAAGAGAAATCCCACAGTATTTCTTTCATCATTTAAATTTATTTCTGTTATTCTGTCATATGGTGGAATCTGAAATTTCCTCAGAAATAAAATTTCATATTTTTTACAGTTCTCTAGAGATTCTTTTTCTATAAATTATTTACATGTCCTTTGTTGATATCTGAATATTGATCACAAATGTGCATTTGTAACTGGAACTATTCCTCCACAGAAAAGGCTACATCAACAGATGTAAAAATATATACCATATATAAATTAATTGAGAAAAACAAGGCAAAAAGAAATCAGGTATATAAATTAGAGCCAAGAATGAAGCTAAATACAAAACAAATACCATGAGATGCACTTGTCCATTATGAGCCACAAATTTTAATCTTAAGTTCGTAGCAGCCAATGCATAAAGAAAAGTACAGCTCTTTTTGGTACTAACATCAGGGAGAGATTACTCCTGAGAAATCTGATAAAGAAAAAAATGTTAACACACACTGACCTCAATAACAGCCTTGAAGTAAACACAATGAAGAACCCACAGCAGTGTACCAAAGTCGAATTCAGTAAATTCAATACTTCAGAAAGAACAGTCATTGTCACAGAAAATTCAACGCCAAAGAAACAGTCACTCAGAGAAAATAAAATGTAGGTGGGAAAGGCTCTGTGCATGCTCCTTAGTTATTGACAAAATAGGCACAGCTAGACAGTAGCCCTGGGTTTCATGGGAAAAAAGATAGTACAATTTGTAAAGCCTCAGGGAATTAGAATTGGTAGCAACTGCCAGATCTGGAAAGGGCATGGGCTTTGGTATGAGATTCTGTGTTCAAACTGAATAGTTGAACAACTTAATATTTGTGACCCTTAGTTCCACCATCTGCAAAAGTAGGATTAAATGAGAGAATACACTTATAGAAACTAAGCTAATACTTGAAATATATAGGCCCTAAATAAATATTAGTGTCTTTCTATTCTCCAGGCCCTACAGGTAGATCGACATGAGGGAGTTGTAATTATTTTCCCTCTTGGACTAATAAGGAGAAAAATACATTAATTATCTACTCCTGAGACTATTCTTATAAACCACAAAGGGCATCCCTACTGCACAATGAGGGGGAGAGGATTAGCAGAGGATTATTCAGTACCATTTCTATAGTAGATAACAAAAAAGGAATAGGGATGCTGTACTGCTGATATTCTGATTTCCCTCCATACATACATTCAGACGTTTTAAAAGTATTTACTTTTCTAAATACAAAATAGTATTCTTTTATAAATATTCAAACATTTCAGAAACATAAAACTTATAAACTGATATTAGGAATAAATGAGGCAAATGTCCTTTTACGGACATATGAATCTTTACCGCCTAGTACCTGGCAGATGCAGAAATGACATGATTTCACACACACCGGAGGTGAAGAAGTTATTAGGACAAACCAGCATTGATCAAGACATGCATTTACAAATAAAAGCGGCCAACTGTTCATTAAGAAGACAGGAGATGGCCTTTCAACAAAGTAAAATGTATCCATAGTCCATTTCTAGTAATAAAATATATGTAAAGTCATTAACTGATTCAAAAATATTGCCATATTACCATTTGAAAGGTTATCTGGTAAGTATAGAATTGGAGCAAAGGAAATTTGATTTTTTTAATAAAGTATTTCATCCAAATGATGATAGAGATTAATTACCCATTATAGAACAGAATACCTTTCTCTGATCTTTTTTTTGTAACAGATGAACAGTAAAAGAAATTCTCATTTCAAATTCTCCTTGCTCTACATTATTAATTTTTTATTACATTCCAACCTTGCTACATATTACAATTTAAAAATATTGTATCTTTTTTTCCTATTAGGTACAATAGAATGGTTATAACTAACGTAATTTGTTATGCTTTGATTCTTTTGTAGATTTCCTATAAAATTACACTTAACTGATATGGTCAGTAGATTTTTTTCTTATGGTTCACTTCTTCTAGTTGATCAAGGAAATATTCTCTAATAAAGATTAAAATAAATCCAAGTGTACTCACCACGTGAAGAATTTTATTCTCTGTTTCATATACAGTACAATCCTGAAAAAAAGAACCATACACATTAGATTCAAAATACCAAGCATTCTTTTAAAATATTTTTTTAGAAATTACACTATAATTTTAAAAGTCTTAACAATTCAAGCAAAAATAATAGGAAAAATCTGGGATGCTATATACCAAAATATTAATAATGGTTAGCTCTGATGGTCACTAACAGAGGATATCCTTATTTTTGCTTAACTGTATATTCTAATTTTACTACCTTTAAATGCATACTAAAAGACAATATACATTAAGTAGACTTTTAAAAACAAATATTGAAAAAATATTGTAATCATTTTCCATCTAAGCTTTTACACGTGATAAATGTATTTTGTTGAAATGTCCCTAACATTTCAAATACTAATTTATTATCGATTAGAACATTAAAAAACACACTAACATTTATTTCAATAGTCCTATCAAAATCTCAAATAATTTTATATTTTTAACTATTGCAAGCTATTAAATATACTTTATAGTACACATTTAAAATTAATACATCTACTAATAATAATTACCCAGTTCATAGTTCTCACCTAAATTTAAGTCCCAGGAATTACAAAAAATTCTTTCAAAAGCCACCATGGTCTTTTTTTTTTAACCTGCAGTTACTGGATATACAATAAGCAGCAATACAACAAACTGATCTTTGCTTAGAGACAATGTTTCTATGGCACAGTTTCCTCACGAAATTTATAAAACGGGCATATTGGTAAAACTGTTGTAAGAATTAAGTGACAAAATGAGATAAATCAATAGAATCTGACATACATTAAGTGATAAATACATTTTAACCATGTATTAGTGTCACTATTTTAGTTTTTTTTTTTTTTTGGAGACAGAGTTTTGCTCTTGTTGCCCAGGCTGGAGTGCAATGGCGCAATCTCGGTTCACAGCAACCTCTGCCTCCTGGGTTCAAGCGATTCTCCTGCCTCAGCCTCCCAAGTAGCTGGGATTACAGGCACGTGCCACTATGCCCCGCTAATTTTGTGTATTTTTAGTAGAGACAGGGTTTCTCCATGTTGGTCAGGCTGGTCTCAAACTCCCAACCTTAGGTGATCGGCCCAACTCGGCCTCCCAAAGTGCTGGGATTATAGGCGTGAGCCACCGCGCCTGGCCATCACTATTTTAACTTTAAAAAACTAACTTTACTTCAAAAAATAAAATTATTATTTGGCTAATTTTGAAGAAGCAAACCCACCCATTTCCACAGTACTGAATATTTTAAGAAATGATATTCCAGTTCATTTTTTCCCAAATTTAATTTTAACAAAAAGGAATGTTGTTCAACACAATTTTTGATAATGCAACTTCACCACAATGCCTTGTCAGAAGAAATACATACTCAGATCAGGGGCAAAGGTTTAAAAATAAAACTTAAGTATATTTTACAAATTCAAAGAAATACTTAAGATTTGGGTCTTGTCTTTCTGAAGGACTCATATGCCAAAGGAGAGATAATCTGGGAAAAGTTGGTAAGTTGCCCAGTTTCTGCATGCTGCTTCTATAGCTTGCTTCAGCTGCAATGTATGCAAATTCCATTATTTGTCTACCTTCCAGAATCAGAGGGTATGACTAAACATTCAAAGGGATTCTCTTCAAGGAAAAAAGTAAATATGATCTGAATGTATACTCTAGCAGTGGATAATAATCATACAGAAAGTAACTATTTCAAGTATCTTTAAAATATAAAAATTTACTAGCCCATTCCTAGTGTGATCCAACAAAAAGAACTGTTAAAATAATCTTAAACTGTTTTCAGTAATCATATGATGTTAGATGGTAGTGTTGTGATTATTGTCATGCAGAATCTGTTGTGTGTGCTTTGTAAGATGAATAACTGAACAATTATATGACTGCCATTCTATCACTCCAGTGTCATTGTTAAGTATTTTTAGCATGGGATAAAGCTGACACATATATAAGATTGAAGAAGTTAAATAACATGCTGGCGCCTCTTGAAGTATTATCTATGTACATACATATATATATGTATGCATGTATTTCTTAGCTCTGCAACTTGAAAAGGCATAGGAACAATGACCTAGCTAGTAATGATACACTTCCCAGAGTTTATGGTCTGAAAACCACATTTCCCAGGCTTTCTTGGAAAATGGCTGATTTGAGATCTGGAATAGGAAATGTACAAGATGAGCTTGGATTATACTGTGATACAAGACAGAAGGAAGTTATCAAAGACTACTAGGAGTAGCATATCAAGACTATTACTACACAGAAGTTGACTCTTGTGTTAGTAGGACTCAGGACTCAACAGGAAGAGATTCCCCCTGGCCAAATATGAAACAATCTGAGCATCTAAAAGGATAATAACTGCAATGTATGGAAACACAATAAATAGTATTAAATATATGTTTGATGCTATATTAATATTACATTTTAAATATGCTACCTATATCTAAATATAGTTAGTAATATTTAAATAATGTTGAATATATTAATTAGACAATATAAAATAGACATATTTTTCGCCTTGATTCAGCAAATATTAATCAACCGTACTAGGGATAAAAGGATGAATAAAACATGGCCCCTGACTTTAAGAGAAGGGCTGTTCAGGGAGATAGGAATTCACACAAATAAGTTAAAACACAGAATTTAAAAGTACTCATGCTGTTTTAAGTGTTTTTAACTTCAGAAGTATAAATGATACACAATTACACAAATCAATAGATAAAAGGCAAATTATTTAAAATTTCAAGATATTAATATATTTTTATTAAAATTCAACAGGAAATCAAATTCAATGTATAGTATACTGGATTGTACTATACATTGCTCTAGTCAAATTTCAAACTTTTTAAAAAGTTCTACTAGCTGCGGGTTAGTGACAGAAAGGATGACATCTGTGATCCTAGATTTAAGATTATTTGAAGAACAAAACATTGGTGCACACTCAACTATTTTGACATGACCCTGAAAGACAAAGTTTAAGGGAGATATATGAGGTGATTGAGGTGGTCAAGTTTTTCTACCAGTCCAAAAAAACGCCACATATAAATATTAAAATTAAGAACTTGTTATTTAAAATAAACAAAACTAAATGTTTGTAAAATGAATTTAAATACATTTTAAATAATGTTTTTGATAAGTTTGCAGCACTTATGTATGTAAAGTTAAGTTTAAATCTGCATTAAGAGATTTGGGATACTCTTGATTAGTGTAACAAAGGCACAATTATGGGAGCTAGAGGAGCAGAGGAGGAAGAAACTAAACTCTGTGTGAAAACAAATCAAGAAAGGTGGCTTTTAACTGGGTCTTGGAAACAGTGGGTCTTCAGAAAGAGAAAATAATGGCATCATTGCAAAAGCAATCAATGTAATCTACACTCAGTTAAGTAATTTTCAGATTTTACTTCTGCATTAAGAATCATTTGAGGGGTGGGTTAAAATGCAGATTCCCAGAAGTACAGATCTAGTTGATTCAGAGTGAGGCCTCCAAGATGATATTTATGAAGATGGTATTTTAAGAAACACTTGATCTATTTTATAGGATTACCATGTGATACAGGAACACCAAAGTTATCCCAAAATTATCAAATATATAGAATTCATAAACTGGTAACCTTTTTATAACATTATCTGCCAGCTCACTCCAAATAGTTCTCAGATCCACAGAATTGTATGTTTGATTACACTTTCCCCCAATTCATTGATTATTTTTTCCTATTAAACTTATTTCTTTCTTCAATAGCTTACTATGTTGAACAGTTGCTTCTACTTGTCTGTATCTCTATCTTCTTTCAGCAAGGTCGGCTTGTCAGTTATTGAAACCCAGAGGCTTTCCACAAAGGGTGAGGATGCAGCATATTAAAAATAGAAGCCAGGCACAGTGGCTCATGCCTGTAATCCCAGCACTTTGGGAGGCCTAGGTGGGCGGATCGCTTAAGGCTAGGAGTTCAAGACTAGCTTGGCCAACATGGTGAAATCCCACCTCTACTAAAAATACAAAAATTAGCTGGGTGTGGTGGCACATGCCTGTAATCCCAGCTACTCGGAAGGCTGAGGTAGGAGAATCGCTTGAACCTGAGAGGTAGAGGTTGCAGTGAGCCAAGATCGCACCACTGCACTCCAGCCTGGGTGACAGAGCGAGACTCTGCCTCAAAACAAAAAAAAGAACAACAAAACCAGAGAGAGTGCATATTAACCTGCTACTTTATATTAGGGAGAAGAATAGAAACTAAATGACTATGTTATATTTTGTTAAGCTGTAATTTTATGGCATTCATTTTATCATGCTAAATATTTAAACAGCTCTAGGTACTTTGGGAGGTTTATTTATTAGTAAGTTATTTTACCTCCATCAACAGGTGATTTTAAAATACTTGCTTCTAAAGTATGGGTTTTATTAATACTTGGGGCCAAATCCTTTCCCAAAAGATATCTCAAGTTTTAAAGAGAAAATAGCATTGCATATGGATAAATCTATACTTTACAAACCTATTCATGCTGTGGAAAGGTACACCTCTGACATTCTAGTTATTTTTAGGTTAGAATTAAATTTAGATTTTAAAGACTGGGTTTACAGCCACGATACTATATACTCCCAGGAATTCTCTCCAGCAGCTCAAGCTTTTATTGTACATGCAAAAAAAAATTTTCATTTCTTCTTTATCCTTTTCCATATAATGCTTCTACAAACTATGTGATGCATTTACATGAGCCAAATTCCTAATGAGAAAATATTCATAAAAATGAGGCGTGTTTCTTGAATTTTGATCACTAAGTATGCACAGAAACATCCTCCCACAGATGAGCTATACACCCACACAGGATCATAATGTTATCCTTTCTGTGAAACAATGATGCAATTGCTATAGTGAGCAGAATAACAGAACAATTTTTACTCCTACATATTGCCACTGATGTTCCATACTTTGTCAACAAGTTTTAAGCACCTGGTGGGTCACAATACTCAGAACAAGTAATATTTCTCATCAACTGTATAATAAGAACAGTGCATATGTTATTAATAGTAAA